AAGGTTAGAACTGACGGACTTGGCAACTGATTTGGTGTGCAGGGCTTGAATGATGGGGAAGTGCCAAAGATAGCATAGTATAGGCTAAAAAATAGGAACTGACTTATGTTACATTATCTAAAGAGTCCAATGATTTTATCAAGAGTATATTTACTATGTGATAGAGAAACTCTTCAGCTTCCAGTTCCTATCTTTTCACTATACTGTCTTGCTTAAAAACTCACCTCCCATCTTTTATTTTCATCCTCTCATATATGATCGCTTTCTCCATTCTAGCACAAATATCAGTACATGAAAAGTAACAAAACCCACATGGAAATTGAGAAGTTCTACTCTCTAAGCATTAATAGATCAGGAAAGAACTTAAGATATCAGTAAGCTTAACAGGTATTTTATAAATGAGAAAGTTTAGGCTTAAGCATTAAGGCTAAATAGGAACTGTCAGAATTTTCTTCTTACTGAATCTTTATAAAATTACTTATCCGATTTCATTAAAAGAGTCTGTCATAGGAAAGAGGAGGTTTATACTAGGGAACAATCATTACTGTTTAAACTTACCTTTGTTTGTTTCCCTTTTACAATCTTATTGGATACCCTTTAAATGCGTATCACTAACTTATAAATTTTAAATGGCATTTTAAAGGCTACTTTACTTTTTAATTTACATTTTATTGCATTGTAATTGTGTGACTTTTTGTTTTTTTCAGGAAGATATAATAGACACTTTGCTTGGACGCAAGTCAAACCAACCAGCATAATTCATCATTCCTAATACCTTTCTTGTGGTTGTTTCTTTAAAAAAGAAGTTGTTTAACATCCAGTATTCTGTATTATATGCTGTACACCAGCTTTTGCTTTCAGAAAACAATATTTTATGTATAACTTCCACTTAATTTAAATTTAATGAACTTTTATTTCAGAGATATTTGCAATCTAAGAGTTATTCTTAAGAGTTTCAGTGGGGCCGGGCGCGGTGGCTCAAGCCTGTAATCCCAGCACTGTGGGAGGCCGAGACGGGTGGATCACGAGGTCAAGAGATCGAGACCATCCTGGTC